GGTAATCTGGGCTCAAGAGCTACAGGTAGCTCCCGAGCTGCTGTTTTGTTCTCCTAGCATCTACGCTACTTGCACTGACAAAAATCGGTGCCGGGTGAAAATCAACAGTGCAGCTGGTAAAACCTGCCACTTCAGAGCTGGAAAACTGGTTTCCTGAGTTGTATCAGCCGTTTGGTTATTTGGGAGAGGTTTTACCCTGGCCCCACCCACTGCAGACCTCTTTGCAAAGTGTAGTCACACTGTTTCAAGAAGCCATCCCTCTGGCTACAGGATCATACCTTGACTAGGGAGAGATATTCCACTGCGGCAGAGCGGAGAGTCGAAGACCACTTCCGGACAGAATCGTCACACACCCAGCAATGGACTCCTCTGCGTCCTGAATACACCCACAGCCTATGCTGAACACCAAAGTCCTCTGCAGGGGCAGAAAAAAAGCAAAAAATACACCATTTAGACCACCAAGGAAAAAGAAAATCAAACAAAACATAGCGCTCTAAACATTTACATTTATTTTGTTCAGTACAATCTGTGAATCAAACTATGGGAATTTGTAAACTATGACTTGATAGAATGAGTTGCATGAACCCAACAATTATGGCTTATTTGTGGTTAAAACCATGGCTTAGCACAATGTATGTGAACAGGTCAAAGAAAATAGCAGCTTGCTTATAGCTATAGCCACAAGGCTACATCTCTGACCCAAAACAATGCTGGATCCCTAATAACAAAAACAAACACAAATGCTAGTAGTTGGTTTACTATTTATTTATAGCTTATTTTGCATATTTCTGCAACATTTTACTGTAATATTTTATCTTCTGTTTTGTTTGATTTTTATTATAAACTGCTTCAAGATTTTTTTAAAATGGGAAACAGTAGAAAAACATTTGAATAAATAAAATTAACTCATAAATATTAAAATACCACTAAATATGGCTATTTAAAAGAAGACGTGCATTGTTCTCTGCTGTGAAACCTGTGAGGAGAGTCAGTGGGAGGAGACCACGCAGCTCTTTACAAATCAGAAAGGCAGCAGCACCTGACTGACTCTGGCTGATCTTGAAAATCTAAGCAGAGTTGGACCTCGTTAGCACTTGGATGGGAGGCCACCAGGAAATCCTGGGACTAGTCTGGAAAGACAAGATAGTCCTAGAAGGTGGCAATGAAATACTCTTGCCAAGTAAACGATGTACCCTGACATGTTCACATAGTCACCAGAAGTGGTGTGCTCCCCTCAACAACAGGCAGAAGCATCCTTCTTCAGATGGGAGCTAAGATTACATGTTCTGAAGGATGTAACAGCTGAGAACTGCAAAGAAAACCCAGGGAATGCCCCAAACTGAAGACTGCTTGGTACATATCTACTGAACTGGATCTACTAATCCTTCCTATTGTAAAGCAATAGATTAGGTCAACCCTCCTCAACCTGGTGCACTTCAGATGTCTTAGGACTTCTACTCCAATAATCTTCAGCCAGCATGACTACAGAAGCTGAAACCCCACAGTTCCAAAGGGGAACCAACCTAGGGAAACCTGGATTAGCCACTTTCCAAGAACATCATGCCTGTTCATGATGACTCTGATGGCCATGAGCCAAAATCTATTCTTCTTTCTCATATAAAATGGGCACACAACCTTCTATAGGTTTCTCCTAAAACTGTGCAGAACCAAGAGTAAGGAGTGGGAGGCTAGGAATAAATTAACCTTGATATAATTTTACATTAAATTAAAGACATATAGTCCATATGATTACTCCT